GGTTTTTACGATATATATTTAAACTAAACCCATTATTCTTTCTGTGTAATTTCAAATCAAGATCAGGCCACAACTGCAGCTTCTTCACTTTGGTCTTTATCTTTCGCCGATAATTGATCATCATCAGTCGGTTTTAATTGATCGCCTTTTGCCAGTCCCGCCGCCTCCTGCATTACATTGTATTACATTTAGTTGGATCTGCGATCGGCGGATCGATGGATCGATGGTTCGCTGGATCGCTGCATTGATTGTAATCAATCACTTTCGTGGAATTGTGCCTGCTGAATGAAACGAACTATGCTATAGGCTGTATCCTATAGGCCACAGCCGCCGTTCCGTCGGTGGCCCAATAATCCGGCCCATAAGTTGCAGCGGGCCGCGGACTTTGGCTTTGACTTTGGCATTTTCCTTCCAATCATCAGCCACAATTGCGTACGTGAGCTGCACTCCAACTGGCGATCAGATCCCCATTCGACTCCATCCGCGATCCGCGGTCCAAGATCCCAGTTTCAGTTGCAGGTTGCCTTGCCACATGCTGCGTCAATAAGTCACTCGATGGCATTTGTGAAATGCATTAGATCAGCGCACATATCGAAAAAAGCGATCGATGAAGCACGAAGCAGCACAAATTCCTATGCAAATTGTTGTGGGCAGTTCTTTTTGTTTTTATTGATCTTCGGCGACTTGCTGACAAGGATCTTTCAAGGCCAAAATTTAGATTGGTTGCAGGTCAAGGTGCACAGTTTATTATTGGGTTAAAAAAAAATCGAACATGAAAATGGGTTCAAAATGTGACCCTCGTTCAAAAGAAAACTTTTAATGTAGAATTTTATGGAATTCAACCACAAATTCATAGAGGTATCCCACATCTAATTCGGAATTCAATAACTCAAGTAATGGAATTTAGAAGGGCAGATTTTGGGTTCCCATTCTGAAAGCCATTTGAAATTCGGAAAAATCGAACATGAAAATGGGTTAAAATTTGGACCCCTCTGTAATAGATAAATTTAAATGTAGAATATAAGATAATTTAACTACGAATTCATAGAGGTATCCCACGTCTAAATCGGGATCCAATAACTCAAGTTATGGAATTTAGAAGTCCAGATTTTGGGTTCCTATTCTGAAAGCCATTGAAAGTACGAAAAAATCGAACATAAAAATGGTCTAAAATTTTGACCATCTTAAAAAAGAAATATTTGAATGTAGATTATTAGAGAATTGAACCACGAATTCATAGAGGTATCCCACGTCTAAATCGGGATCCAATAACTCAAGTTATGGCATTTAGAAGTGCAGATTTTGGGTTCCCTATTCTGAAAGCCATTGAAACTACGGAAAAATCTAACATGAAAGTGGCTAAAATTTTGACCCTCTTAAAAAAGAAATATTTGAATGTAGATCATTAGAGAATTAAACCACAAACTCGTAGAGGTATCCCACATCTAGATCGGGGTCCAATAACTCAAGTTATGGCATTTCGAAGGGCAGATTTTGGGTTCCCATTCTGAAAGCCATTTGAAATACGGAAAAATCTAACATTAAAATGGGTTAAAATTTGGACCCTTCTATAATAAATAAATTTAAATGTAGAATATAAGAGAATTCAACTACGAATTCATAAAGGTATCCCACATCTAAATCATGATCCAATAACTCAAGTTATGGAATTTAGAAGTGCAGATTTTGAGTTCCCTATTCTCTGAAAGCCATTGAAAGTACGGAAAAATCTAACATGAAAGTGGCTAAAATTTTGACCCTCTTAAAAAAGAAATATTTAAAAATATTTTTACTTCCAACAAAAATTATTTGTATGTAAATAATTTGTTTACCCACTATTAAACTGCTTATAAGCTAAGAGTATCCGCGGGTTATCCTTATAAATTCCACATTTTGTTCTTATCTCTGCAATTAGCCGTGGTATTTCCCAGAGAATTTTTGACTTCGATTTGGATTCGTACTTGGATTGGATTCCTCCATTAGAGCGGCTGTCAATTAGAAAATGTCTGCGATGTCAGCCAGATGTTTTGGCCCAAACGAAATGCACTCGATCTTAGAGGATAGCCACCTCTCTTTTTCTCCGGTTTCCCGAGATGTCTAATTAGCATTCGCTTTGGTGGACCCCAAGGCCAGCCAATGGCCCCTCCCACTTTTCCTCCAACTGAAAACTGCAAGCCGAAATGAAAAAATAAACCTCCCATATGAACATCGAACCAAATCGAACCGAATCGAACAGGAACCGGAGCAATAAACAAAGACATCAATGGCCCAGGGGCTATAGCTGCCCGATTCTTCAGCGATCGCTGCTTCTTCTTCTTCATCATCATCGTCTTCTGAATTAGATGCAGTCCCATAAATAATAATTCGACGGCAAATGCAAAGTGGAAAAGCAAATACTTGCCATGGCGACAAATGCTCAGCACAACAGTGGGCGACAGAAGAGAGAGAGAGAGGGGGGCTACGGCGAAGAAAGAGACGAGGGTCTGCAGTGAAGAAAGAGAGGGGCTATGGAGAGCCACTGCTTGGCACACGTTTGCCCAGAGACCCAGAGCAATCAATAATCCAAAGCGTAGAATCAAGGGAAGTACGCGGGGATCAAGCTTAGATCGGAATGAATTCGCACTGCGAAGAGATCAGAGAGAAGAAAGGCGGCAAGGAGGGGGGAGAAGACTGCAGAAGACACTGGGAAGCGAGGTTCCAAGAATGGCGGGAGAAGAAGAGGGGGCCCCCAGAACCTGTTCACCCAACGGGCCGCACATTAGGAGGTAGTTGAGAAGTAAGGCAGATTCTTCTCTGTCTTTTTTTGCTGTTGGTATCCTTTGGGTTCGGAAGCTACAGATTATGCGTAAGAAATGGGTTTCAACCTTGAGTATACCCTATGAAGATAACAGGAGTTTTCAATGAAGGTCTCATTTGAAAAGTATTCTAAAACTGTTATTAGTTAATGGATTTAAAATGTAATCGATGGTATCTTCTCATGTTTTATTTCCAAAACTTCCTTTTCTTGAGAAATACCATCTAGATCTACAATATGTGATCTAATGCCTTTCTTATTAGATAAATCCTAGCATTTTTTTTCTAATGTGCTGATCTCTTTATCTCTTGTTAATTCATATCATCAACTAGTTCATATTACTCGTATGTACAAAGTACATATATTTAATCATAATTCGATCGCTCTGTGTGCAAAGCCCGTAATTTCGATGAAAAAAAGAAAGAAACAAAGTAGTTCTACCATTAACTTATTTATACCCATATAATTCTGAAAATGTTTTGTTAGCCAAACCCCTGCGCGCCATAATCTCTTATCGTACCACTCATCGATTCCCTGTTCGGCCCCCAATGAGTATACCCCATTATTGCCCAGTTATTTCGATCTTGCTGATTATAAAAATAGCAAACGAGTCACGGCCAGATCGACAAGCAGCGCCAGTTCAAGGAGACACCACAACAAACATACACAACTCTGTGAAGAGAGTCGGGGAAGACCGGAGAATTGACCAATCGAGAATCGAGCAGAAGAACCAAGAATAGCGTAGGTATATCGTATCGTATCGTCTTTCAATGCTCTTTCAGTCGCGGATTCCTGTTTGCTGTGCCCATCTCTTTTGCACTCGCCTTTTTTCGGCATTAGAAGAGCCTCACATCCTCCGAAGAATCTGTTGCCAGCGAAGGAGAAAAATTATTATAATAAAAATAATAGCAAACCGGAATTTCCTGATCCTGTTTGTCTGCCTATCAACCTACCAACAAACTAAGCAAACTGCCAACTGTGATTCCTTTTTGCATGTAAAGTACGCTTGGCGCAGATGTTTTTTTTTTCCTTTATAGAGTTCGTCCCGAGATTTCCTATGTAAGGCATTGGGTTTGCCTCGAGATTAGATTTTTTAGAAGGGGGCTAACTGATCATCGGGATTACCCTTTGCCATCGTTTCGCTTTCATTTCTTATTGTTAAGAACATTTGCACCTAATCTGTGGTAAACATATGTACTATTTTAATAAAACTTAGTATGTGTGTTTTCCATTTAAAATCAATCAGTTCTCATCTCATTTTCACATCGTTATATTAATTATAATGAATCTTTTAGAGAGCATTAGTTCCATCGCTTTTTAATGCAAATGTAACAGCTGTGCGTTTTTGCATTTTGATTGCTTTTTGCATTATAATTCAAACTAGCTTTTAGCCTGGAAGCCGGCTATCGCGAATAGAATCCCATTTAGCCAATGCATCTGCCACCCGATCAGCTGCAACTTTGGTGTTAGCTTTAGCTTTGGATCCCGATCCCGATCCCCCTCCTTCAAAAAAAAAAACTGGCCAGGAAGACGTCAGACTGCTTTAAACTTGGCAGCAATATTTATGAGTGGCTCCACGATGCTGGCAATTAATACGATTATCGGGCAGATTAATTGGCAATACGAGTGCAATTAATACCAGGTTGGATCAGCACTTGTCAGAAGACTATATTCTTGATGTCAAAAACTTCCACCATATTTCAGAAATCTTATCCGATAAAAATATCGTCTTGGGTGATCTAATTTCTAAAAACAAAATATCCTTTTTAGCACAGTTTTGGATCTGAAAACATGAAGTTTTCATTCAATATATGAGATCTTAAAGGAAACTGATCCCAAGTCCGGGTACTAAAATATAGAACTATCTTTAAGCCCAGTTAAATACGAAAATGTTCTTTTAATGACTTATTATTTACCTGAGAATTACATTACTTAACAGAAAAGTCAAATATATTCTTGGTTTATTTGCCTTAAATTAATGGCGTGGAAAATATGGTAAAAAATTACAGGAACATCAACAATATCATCAATATTTATATAACTGTTCTTCAAAACAAAAACGAAGGCTGGCCGAATACAGAATAAATATTCAGCGCGTGCAAAATAATTTTAACATATAAGAGAAATAAATTTCAATCGGGTTTCTTACTTCTTTCTGTTGGTTTTTTAACTTTTTCTTATTTTTGTTTCATTTGTTTGCCTCCAGACGTCAAGTGCAGTATGCTGATAAGACTGGAGAATCCGAATCCGAAGACAGGAGACTGAAGACAGGAGAACGAAGATCCAGACAGATTTTATGGCCAAAATAAATGACGAACAGCGAAAACGGCAAAAGGCAAACGGCAACGAAAGGAACAGGCTAATAAAAAGCCATTAAAGCCAAGTTCAGGCAGGTCATGTGAGTCAGTTCGTTTGTTTTGTTTCGGGGCCTTTTGGGAATTCTCAGATCCCCGATTTTTGGGTGGGTCCCCCAAGTGTCTCTCTCTCTCTCTCCCGTTTCCATAAATCAGCTAAATTAGAAACGAAAAAAACAAATTGCAAAAAGGGAATAAGGAAAAACAATCCAAGAAACGTAAGACTAATGAGGGAAACTATAATTTAAAGAGCCTCTGAAAAGGGGAAAGAGTGGGGTGTGGGGTGTGGCCCTTTTTTCTGGGGGGAAACCCACCTCCTCAGAATTTTTATCACCTTCCATCTACCTTCTTGTATTTCGCTTTGTCCGCCTTTTTTTGGAGGTGTTCCTTGCCCCTTTGCCATCGTATTCTCTTCTCGGAAAGCAACTGTATTTGAAAAGGAAAAGGGAGAAACCAGTTTCGGTTTTGTTCTCTTTCGTTACCAACTTCCATTTTCCTTTTGGGAATTTCGCATTTTGGCTTATAAGAATTTGGTCTTAAAAAAAAGGAAGAACATTATAAGTTTTTTTTTATTTTACTAAAAAAAATCATTAAAAATCCTTTCGGGTAATTTTTTTATTCTTTTTCAGAAGTTTTATTTTAATTTTGGTTCTTGCAAAACAGGAAGAAAATAATAAGTTTTATTTTTATTTTGCTTAAAAACTATATTTATAAACCCTTTTTAAAATTATAAAAAATGTTTCGGCAATTTTTTTAATCTCCTTTCAGAATATTTTGTTGTGTTTTTTTTTTTTTTGTTTTGTTCGTGATGACATCATGGAATGCAAATTCCAGCAAAGACAATGAGCAGATCAACAAAAAAGACAGTCGAAGAACAATGAAATAACAATGAAACCCGCTGGACAAAAGTCTGGAAAATCGTATCTTTCTTACCATGGTGAAAAATTCCTAAGATCTTCCAAGAACGAGAATGAAACTCATAATATTTGCATAACAAATTGGGTCAAATGAGCCAGCAACGCACACGTAATGCTAAACAAATCAAAATATATGTATATATATATATATATTATTCGATATGTACAAAGATATAGATTTATATGCAGATGTACGACTCCTCCCTCCATGGGGTATATGCTAATCAAATGAGCGTGTCCATATGGAAATGAATGAACGACGACAAAAAAAAAAAACTGTAAACGTTGTACAATAATCTAAAGTCGGTGGGGTCTTTGGGGGGTGCTTATGGATATGTATTTATATAAATATATATAAACAGAGAGACAATGCACAATTGCCTATTAGCATAATGATGCCATAAAGTGCGATCGATTGGATGGCTTTTGGGCGGTAGTTGACCAAAAGAATGCGGTGAATGCCAAACGGAATGTGAGCAGGCCAAAAGCAGTGCTTATCAACAGCCCCATAGACACCTCATCAAGGTGTAGTCCCCCTATATATATATATATAAATTCTTTCTTATATATACATAGAATAAATGTATATGTTTATTCCTCTACGCATCGTTTCGTTTTATGACAATTAACACCGCTCAAGAAGGCAAACAAACAGCGACATCGTCTGGTTGTCTCCGCTTTATGGACAGGTTAACCGAGTTGCGGACTAGGGGGGATTGGGTTTGGGAATGGGTAATGTTTGTGCAAATATGGCGTAATAAAGCGCAGTGTATGCAGCCAAGAAAATACTTCCTAGTAATAGCTAGACGGCCATTAGGGTTCTCTTCACTCACAGTACTGTTAAATTGGTTGTATATATATGGTTCTCTGGCTTCTTATCCATCCGCAATTATGTTTTATAAGAGTCTGGTATCTGAATGCCTAATGAAGTTGCAGCTGGTATTTTCTAGTCTCGTCTAAAACTGAAATATTTTATTCCGTAAGTGTTACTAAAATATGTTTTAGCACTTTTAAATTTAAATTATTATTAAACTAGCATATATTTTAAATTAGAAATAGTTTTTTAAATATTTAACATTTATTAAATTTAAAGATACACAGAGAAAATTCTGACGTTCTTATCTGAGTTAAAAATGTTCTTAAAAAATAATGACATTTTTGAAGTTGAAAATGTTTTTATATTGTTCGAATCAAGTTGAATTGGCGGTATTTATGTACTTTGTATATTTCAACAAATAAACTATTAGTTCAGTCCGTAGTGTATACTTAAAAGTTGTAAAATAATCTCAATTTAACTTTTCTCTTCTCACCATTTCGTTCTAATATTGAGAACATTGATACCAAAATGTGCTTAAACGGTTTTTAAGAACGAATGTTCTCAGTTCAAGAACAATTTTCTTGGATATTTCTTTCTGTGTACAATATTAAAAGCTAAATTTTTAATAATATATCATATGGAATTGGTACTCCTTTATTATCTTTTTAGTAAAAATCAGTGATATCTATTATAGTTAGAAGCTAACATCAATAGTTCCCCTGTTACAGCGATCTTTGTCACTGTTATCTTCGATCAATTTTTTTGTGCGGTTGCCATTACCTTGTTGTATCTTTCCATCGGCTGTCCGTCAATCAATTTCCCAGCTTCAATCTGTTAACATATCACAGATGTATCTGCAAGATGCTAATGCATCTGTGTGCGTGTCTGTTATCGCTGGCAACAAAGTGGCTGGCAACATGTTGCATGTTGCCGGGTGTCATCTATATAAGAAATATAAGAAAGGAACGATCAGGAATAGAATATGGAGTATAGCGCGTGTCTTGGCCGGCCGGTTGGACTTGAATCAATTCGTCATTTAAATGATAGACCCCCCCCCTCCTCCCAATTCCGATCGCCCTCCTCCCACCCCCTTTTGCCACACCCCTGGGGCAATGGCAGCACTTAGCGCAACATCAACTTAAATTGCAAAAAAACTAAAAAAAAAAAGAGGAAAAAACCCCAACTGGAAGCAGACGAAACCGGAGCTACGATCCACTCCACTACCGGGGAACGTGCCAGGCCAAATTAATTGCTTCGTTAGATCGAAGAGGATGGCTTATGGATGGGAAAAAGGGGGGTCGCCTGTGCCCCAGAAGAACCGCTTTGGCCAATTTTTTAGCTCTCCCACTTCCGCTGCAGCGGAAAAAGGGGGTAACACGAGCCACTGCCACTGCAACTGCCACTGCCGCTGCCCAACAACGATTGACAAATTTCCAAATGCCATTAAGCAGGCGTTGCATGCAACCAGCCCCAGACTCCCAACCAAACCCCAGAGACAAAGAGGCGAAAAAGAGGCTCGCTGCAGAGGAAGATGGCTAATGGATGACAAAACAGGTGGCCAACAGCAGCGGTAGCCACGAATCTGGACTGCTGGGGTTACCAAGGCACTGGGAAAAATATATATTCTATCAAAATAATCATATAATAATATTATAATAATAATAATTCAACAAAAATTATTCTTTTTAAAAAATATCTCATTACAATATAAAGTATTTGAACCTACACAGCACTATTTTATTATTACAGCCCAGCTGTAAAATAATTACAATATATACTTAGCAAAGAAATCTATTTATTTAGTAGCAACATTTTTTTTATAAATATTAATCTTGGGGAACATTACAAAACTATTTATTTGTCTCATCTTTTTTAAGTTTTGCGGGTAAAAAAAACTTTTTTTTTTGTACTAATTTTCTATTCTTTTTTTTTTGCACTGTATTCTTTACTACTTCACAAAACTTTTAATTTCTCATACCTTTTTTACAGTTTTGTAGGTTGACAAACCTAGAATTTTTTTTTAAATTTTCTTATAAGAATGTTTTGGATTTTTCTTACTGTGTACAATGTATTGCCATTGCAAAACGCCCCGCTGGCGTTTGCAATTACCGTGTGGATGCCACCACACAGCCATTAAATCACATTGCTGAAATATTTCATCGGTTTGCAAATTTTCGACAATCAACTTAATCGGAAATGCTCCGTTTTTTATAACTTTATCATCGCCCTGGATTGTGGACTCTTTAGTCCAGGGTCCAGATTTTTGCCACGATGCTGTTGATGTTCCAGGCCGCAGGTGGCAGCCCCATCGCTGTTGCCGGTGATAAGAATCTTGTTGCGGCAATCTCTCCTGGGCATCTATGAATGTCTTTTCCCGCCCGGAACCCCCACAACCCGAGATCCTCGAGATCGTACCATCCATTGCTTTATTTTACCCCCAACCATCCAGCTCTCGAGTCCATTTTGAGGCATGTTTGCTGCCATTTGTTGCTTAATTAATGCTGCAGGTGACGCTGCTAACGAGATGGAAGCCACGCCCAAATATAGATATACATATGTAAGTTCATATTCGAGGCAGGGAAATTCAAATAAATCATATTTCTGAATACGCCGTTAAAATACGGCAAGAGAAAATAATTTGCAGGATATTAAATTTCAACCAGTTGTGGTTAAAAAGATAAGATATGTTCGTGTTTTTTTAATTACGTTCTTAAAGTGGTAAAAATATGATCTATTTGTTAAACAATAGATTACATAAGTTTAGAGCTTTCTTCTTTACTATTTTTAAAGAAGTCTCATTTAGAGAAAGGTTAACTATCAAAACGAGCCAAATCAAAGTAGCCACTCCCCACAACAAAAGGGCAGACAAAAAAACATATATTTATTGGTGGGGTGTTGGAGGGGCGGAGATTTGTAGATTCGTAGATCCATAGATACACCCAAAATAAATACCAGAGTCCAGTCACCTTCACGCATTTTGCATAAGACGAAAGCCGCGGACAAAAGGAGGCCAAAAATAGATTGCAAAAAATAGGAAAAAAAAAACTATATATTAAAATCGGTAAAGAAATGTTAAACCAATTTCCGAAGAGATATATCAGGCTCAGGAGAAAACAAAGCCACAGCCCTTTTGAGATGATATAATCCCAAAAAATAACCATAAAACACAAACCACGAACAAAGCTTCTGGCGAATGTGTCGATATATTGACAAACGTAAATAGCAATTGTGGAATCGAAATAGAAAAGGGGCGGTGCAATGCCGATTACGATGGGGGTTATAGGATAGACCGGCAGACGGACAGGTTGTT